GTGTGTGCGAGAGTGTGCGCGCCGTGGCGCCGCCTCCGCCCGCCCCCCGCTCGGTCCCGTTTGCTCGCCGCGGTCGGGCGGCCCTTTCGCGTGTCCGCGCTCCCTCCCCTTCTCCGCCACCTCCTCCTCCTCCATTTTGCGAGCTCGTGTCTGTGACTGGAGCCCGAGTCACCGCCCGCCCGTCGGGGACGGATTCTAGTGGGTAGAAGGAGACGCCGCAGCCGGAGCAGCCGGAGCGGCCGGGCGCCGGGACTGGGGACGCGTGACGCGCGCTCGGGAATCCGGACTCCGAGACGCGAGCGGAGCCGGGCGGGGGACTGGCTTGTCAGCCGAGAAATGGGAGACTTTCTTAAATAGGGGCTCTCTCCTCCCGCCCATGGAAAGGGGGCGGCTGTTTACTTCCTTTTTTTTTAAGAAAAATATATTTCTCTCCTGCTCCTCCCGCTTTCACACGCTAACTTGTTTATCTCGGCTGCGCTGGGAGCTGCGCACGGTGGCGGTGAGCGGGGCAGCTGCCAGAGGTAAGAGGCGGGGAGGGTTGGGGGCTGGGGCGGTGCGGGCGCCCGCTCGCTCCCCGAGGTGCCGCCGGGGGCCGACTCGGGGCGGTCGAGGGAGTCTGCAAACTTTTATTAGCTTCGGGGAGTGGGGGTGGTAGCTGGAGAGGGCGGGTGAAGGTGACGGCAGGGCAGTGCGCGGGTGACAGCGCTGGCCTCTTCCTGTCCCTTCGCGGCCGTCCCCGGCCGGGCCGAGGGGGGAAGAACCCGAGCTTGGATTGCGAGTGGAACCTTGTCGAGCTGCCGAGGCTTTCACGCCTCTGGTTCCCGGGCGGGAACCTGGCCTCTCTTTTCCCAAGTCCACCTTTCTTTTCCCTGCAAGGGGGCCGCCCAGACACCCATTTTTATGGAGAAGGCTAAGTCGCGTGTGATTTCTAGTGGCCCGAATCCTCCCACTCCACCCTAGCGCGCCGAGCGCGGGCAGGGCTTCTGTGGAGCTCGGCGCGCCCGCTCATTTGAGGCGGGCGTGCGGGGTGCGTGTGAGACAGAGTACACGTGCAGGGGTGACAGCCTGCAACTCGGAGACTTCGGCCAGGGCTGGCGTTATCGGGTAGAAGTGGGCGTGTCGGAGAGAGCGCAACAGGTCTGGACACATTTCTCTTTTAACCTCGAACCTTCCCCCCCCCCCCGTCTCGTTCTTTAGCGTTTGGCGTGATTTCACCCGTGACTTTTCTAAGTGGCCCTTTTTTTAAAAAAAGACACATACACACACACCCATCCCCAACAGTAATAGTTTTGTGCTGCGATTTTTTGACAAGTGCTAGTTTGACGTTTGGGATTGCAGACTTGATAATTGCAGCCTTGTAATACCACTTAAGACCCCTTAGCATGGTTCATTAGGGCCGATTAATCTAACAGGGTTATTTGCAATTTAAACTGGGGAATAATGTCGCTTGTGGGAGCGTTTTGTTTTAGGAAGTATTGTTTTGGTTTCGGGTTTGAAGACAGCTGTCAAAAAAGCAGCGTGCAAATTCATTAGGCTGCATTTGATACCCTGTGTTTAGAGATGGTTATCAGATAAACACGACAGAGGGGTAGGGAGATAAGTAGTTTACCCTCAAGATTTGTAGTGGCAGGTGCCCACCCCTCTTTCCATCTTCACACTCCCCTTTCAGTGAGGACCAGCAACATTTATGCTTTTTAGCGTTTTCATATAGGAAAAGTTTCCTTTTATTGCACGGGATTTGACTATAACGTCTCAAACGTGAAGGCTTCAAGTCTTTGCCTGTCTCTTAAAACATTCTGATTATTAACAAACAAGATACTATCAACCTAATCCTCTTGAGAATATGCTCAGCATTGGGACAGTGAAGGTTTAGAATGCAGAGAAAATTATTCTGAGCATTTTATTGCATACTATTTTACCCGAGTTTATATGAATGTGATTTTACAGTTTTTCAATTTTTCGGTAGATATTTGGAAAGGAAAAATCTTAACTTAGAGATATAATAGTATTTCATACTGAGGATTTAAAGCCATTAAAAGATAAATGTAGCTTAATCTACATATTATGAGTTATAAGGGTCAGACAGCTGTATTTAAGTTATATTTAAATTAAACTGTAGTGAGAAGCTACTATACAATGTATTCTACTTTTTAAAATCTAAATTTTAGTTGGCCCATATACAATGTATCTCATTTCGTGTATCCAAAACTTGGAGATAGGCACCATGAGGCAGGCACATCGAGGCAGCAATATGAGTTAAAAATAAGAGCTTTCCCCCAGCCTATTAGAAGATAAACAGATCAGCATTGTTTATTTTTCAAATAAAATGTGCATGGTTCACCATTAGGTTGTACTAAAAGGGTCGGATTTGTGACTGATAGTAGGAGGGGAGTTTGGGAGTAATTAAGAATAAAGAATTCTAGCATGGTATTTCACAAATGTTATATGTATTGGTTCTCAGAAAAGCAAACAGCCTTGATTTAAAAGAGGTAGGAATTTTAATGATCACACTTTTTTTTGTTTGTTTTGAAATTAAATACTTTGACATCAACTTGAACCTTTAGAATAATCAGATGTAATGAATTATAATGTCTATGATTAACAAAGCTACACGTTCAGTGAGTGGCAGGATGAATAGCCAAGTTTAGTTCCATACAGTTTTGTCTTCCACTGTGCAAATGGACTGCATTGTACTTTTAAATGTAGCATGCTGAATGGGAGCAGGGGACATGGCTTTTTATTCTGGAAGCTAAAAACTACTCTTCTGATAACAAAGTATTTGATTCCGAGTTTACAAAAAGGTTCATTAAACAGGCTGTCTCTAACTAATTGGATTACAGAGATAATGTGATTTTATAGCTTATTATGTCTCCCCCCACTTTTTTTTTTTTTTGTAGCTGAGTTTCACCTATGGACGCCAAAGAATCATTACCCACCCCCAGTAGAGAAGAAATCCCCAGCAGTGTGCTTGGTCAGGAGAGGGAAAATGTGTTGGACTTCTATAAAACCCTAAGGGGAGGAGCTACTGTGAAGGTTTCTGCATCTTCACCCTCACTGGCTGCTGCTTCTCAGTCAGACTCCAAGCAGCACAGACTTTTGATTGATTTTCCAAAAGGCTCAGTAAGCAATGTGCAGCAGCCAGATCTGTCCAAAGCAGTTTCACTCTCAATGGGACTGTATATGGGAGAGACAGAAGCAAAAGTGATGGGAAATGACCTGGGATTCCCACAGCAGGGCCAAATCAGCCTTTCCTCTGGGGAAACAGACTTTCGGCTTCTGGAAGAAAGCATCGCAAACCTCAGTAGGTCGACCAGTGTTCCAGAGAACCCCAGGAGTTCAGTGTCCACTGCTGTGTCTGCTGCCCCAACAGAGGAGTTTCTAAAAACTCATTCCGGTGTATCTTCAGAACAGCAAAATTTGAAGGGCCAGACTGGCACCAGCGGTGGCAATGTGAAGTTGTACACTGCAGACCAAAGCACCTTTGACATTTTGCAGGATTTGGAGTTTTCTTCTGGGTCCCCAGGTAAAGAGGCAAATGAGAGTCCTTGGAGATCAGACCTGTTGATAGATGAAAACTGTTTGCTTTCTCCTTTGGCAGGAGAGGATGATCCATTCCTCTTGGAAGGAAACTTGAATGAAGACTTCAAGCCTCTCATTTTACCGGACACTAAACCTAAAATTAAGGATGATGGAGATCTGATCTTATCAGGCCCCAACAGTGTACCACTGCCCCAGGTGAAAACAGAAAAAGAAGATTTCATCGAACTGTGCACCCCTGGGGTAATTAAGCAGGAAAAATTGGGCCCAGCTTACTGTCGGGCAAGCTTTTCTGGAGCAAATATAATTGGTAATAAAATGTCTGCCATTTCTGTTCATGGTGTGAGTACCTCTGGAGGACAGATGTACCACTATGACATGAATACAGCACCCCTTTCTCAACAGCAGGATCAGAAGCCTATTTTTAATGTCATTCCACCAATTCCTGTTGGTTCAGAAAATTGGAATAGGTGCCAAGGATCTGGAGATGACAACTTGACTTCCCTGGGAACTTTGAACTTCCCTGGTCGGTCGGTTTTTTCTAATGGCTATTCAAGGTAAGGTTAATGCTTTTCTATTTCTTAAGAATGTGGTACATTTGAGATAGGTTGATAGATTTAAATATTCATTTATTTGTATGTGTTCTCCAAACATTCATGTGCTTTTTCATATGAATAAGTGGTCTTTTGAAAGTAGGCATCGTAGACAACCTAAGCAATTTATCTGTACATAACCATTTCAGGTTTTCTTCTTAAATAGTGGTATTTAGTATCCCATTGGCCAGTGGTGAAGATTTTAAAATAATATTGCTCATTAACATATACATTAAGTAAAAACTGTATAATTTCAGGTGAGTACAATGCCTGGTAAATTAGTGTGTTGTGCATATTCATTTAGCTGTTTTAGAATATGCTCTTACATAACAATAAAAAATATCCTTAATACTTAATCAAAAGTTGTGCTACTGTATTTGTACATTTGTGAAGTGTTTGAGATTAAAGGGTTAAAAATTGGAAGTACTTACAATGAGCTCTGTTCTTCTAACCGAACCTTCTGTTGCAGAATTTGAGTTTTGAGATTGCTAAAGAACTGCGGTGAATAGTGTACCAGACCGTAGTATTAGACATGGGTCTTGCTTGCAGGGTTCCCGACCTAAAGTAGACAAAGTGTGTCTGCTGCTCAGTCTCTTTAAGAAGGGAATCAGTGGCTACATGGTGCAAAACAAAATTTTACTTTCAAGTGTTCCTACAAGTTCTCAACTGATGGTCAGAATTGTTAAGCTTCGATTCTCAGCTATCATTTGATTTGTTTCTCTTTCTTCTTTTTCGTCAGTCATTTATAAGTATACTGACATTTCTATCTGAACTCAAAAAGGCCCATTAAAATGGAATTATCAGGAAAAAATTCTAAATTTATATATCTGTGTTGCTAGGGGTTAAGTTCTCTACCCCATATCCCTGTTCCTAATTCAGATAAATGCTAAATTGTATATCCCTTTTAGGTGTGAAGGAAAATATAAAAATGTGAATAGTAGGGATGCATTGTACAGATTAGTGTTTGTTTTTTTTTAAAGAAGGCATAGTAAACACTGATTTATTTGTATGTAACCATTTCAAGTTTTTTCTAAAATGTTAGTGATGTTCATTATTCTCATTAACTAGTCACTGAGGATTTTATCCAAAACTCTCTTTAAAATACTTTTAATATGAAAGGTATCCTAACACTGAAGTGTCTCTTTTTCTTCTTTATGTAGGAAGCTTTTATTGTGAAGGAGAATATTTAGAGTTAGATTTAGGCTATGTTCTATTCTTCTGAAAAGTTTAGTATTTCTCATCAAAAGAAAAAAACCTTGGTTCTTATGTGTCTTAATGCAAACTGCCTACTAATCTATTGTTTAAAAAATATTTTATTTAACACTATAAACTCTTTGTTGTCTTTATGAATTGAAGTTTTAAAATATTTTCAATAAGTAGATTTGAGATGTTTCTTAACTGCATATGCTACTGTATTTTAAATATTAAAAGATATGCTGTGTTTTAAATTTTTCAATCTCAAACTTTTGGCAGAGGAATTCATGTGCTCGGTTTTCTTAAAAGAGTAAATACAGTTGATTTGACTAAGCTATCTGTAGGAAACTATTAAATTGGTATATAAAACATATAATTATACAAAGAAAAATAATGCATCTTAGGAAACTCTTGGGGATTATTAATGCATTTTGTCCTGATAGTCATCATGGTATTCTTTTAATTTTCTTTACTATTAAAAAAAAGGCATGGAACAAAACTTACTTTCTATTTAGTATGAACTTTCGTTAAGCCCTGTAAAATCTGGGATATGGAGTTTAAGTCTTAGATGAACATAGTTATCCTTAAATCATTAAAGATAATTTTAATACTTTAACTTTTATAGTACTTTATGACACATAAAGTGTCTGCACATATTTTTAATTTGAGCCTCATAACAGCCTTATGGAGGTAGGCAAGGCAATGATGATGTGGCTCTTTAGAAGTTATTTAATATACAATGAAATAATTATTTTTATGCCGATGTGTGATTTTGGAATTATAATCAGGAATCTATCCTAACTAAAAGGCGTAATATGTTATACAGGATCATTTGGTAATGTTTGAAAAGTTTATACCTTTGGTGTTAACTTAGCACTGGGAACTATGTATACCAAGAACAAAGCTTCATCCAAATAAATTGAAACAGTGTTTCTTTTCTAACCATCATTGAATTAGTCTTTTGTTTCCAAACAACAGCCCTGATAAAACCAAAACTGGTTGCCTTCTCTTCTCTATATGTTACATGGCCCTAGCCAAACGTTAGCTACGACCAGTGACCCTGAGTGATCAGTAAATAAATCAACATGTTGAGACCACTACTTGATCTAATACTGACTTTCTGACTTTAGATATAGAAACATTAAATACCATTTATAACTTCACTTGCATTCTTTTGTAATTAAAAAAAAGTATAAATTGTAATTTGACTTTTTAAAATGTCACCTAAAATTGCTTTTTCTCAGAATCCCTAAAAGAAAGCACTTTATATGCCGTTTTTTTTTTGGAGGGGGGGAGATGGCAATTCTTGCAGACATGTCAGCGCACCACAATGTTGTTATCACATTAAATTGTAATATTATAAATATCATGTTTAAACATAGTAAAGCATTTTCTTTTTAAGGTTTAATTTCATTGATAGTAAAACAAGAGAAGCCTTACTGATGTTCAAATACATTCTTTAAGTTAAATGAATTAGCCATTTATACTTCATGTGCTTTTATAAATACTGAAATCCAGTAAGTTTAGCATAAACTTACAACATTGAAGGCACATTTCTGTTTAATTTGATTTTCAGCATTGTTTCACTTCAGTATTAATGGCAAAATGGTTGATAAGAGACACAGGGAAATAAATGTTTTTAGGTGGAATTAGAGCTTTTATTGGAATTATGTTGAAATTTTAATGTTAAAAAGTTGACCGTTTCTGAAGGATATGATTGGAGAGAAAGAATGATGCAGGATGAACTTGTAAATTTAGCCTTAGGTGGAGTCTAGGGCTCTGATGATTGGCACTTAATAAAACTGCTGAAATTTATGTAGATTTTAATGTCTCTCATTACTAATTGCATCCGTGTCTAATTTTATGAAAGTAATAAAAATTGAAGACCTGTACAAACACAGGATGAGTGAAGCAAATTCTGTCCCTTTCTCGATTTTTTTTTTTTAATAACCTTACGCTGAACGTTTTCTCAGAAAGGGAGGAGGTTTAAAGAAGAGAAAAGATTTTGACTATGATTTACCCCTTTTTAATGGATATTTTCTTTACTTCCTACCTTTTCTTTTTCCTTTCCTTCTAAATGTTCTGGCAATGGGTGTTTCAATGTCTTTTAAGCTTAATATTTCTGATATTCATATAAAGTGATTTCTGAATTTAAGTGAAAGAAGACTGCCTTTGGGGTATATATTTATTTACTTATTTATTTTTAGCTTTATGATAGACTGTTTTTCATTTTTTGTTAAGTCTGTACCTTGTTATGGTTATAGGATTAGTAAGAGAAAAAAACTTTTAAAACACACTGTGTATTCAGGTGTCTCGATTTACTATGGGACAACTCTAATACAAAAATGTGTGGCCAGATTTTATTAAGATTACTACTTGTGATGTTTCTTTGGCTATTCCCCTTATATTTTTATAATTAGTAACATAATTTATATTCATAATACTGTTTTGGTTTTGTCCATTTGTGTTACAGATATTTTAGTCTGACCACTTTAAATATATTATTGAATATTTATACATTTTATGAAAGACTTATTCTGAAACATACCTTGCATAAATGTAGGTTAAATGCAGATTGTATTTACATTGAAATTAATATTCAGGGGCATTTGAGATTTTAGTGAAGGAGAGATTGTATTAAAAGGGTTTATTTTAGTATGAGTGCCTAATGTGAAAGAAAGCATCTGTATTAATTGGTTAGTTATATAAGTCTTGATCCACTCTGGCCTGCAGGTGATTGAAATAGCCTAGTTATGTTAGGAAATCTTAATTTATGTTAAGTTTAGAATAGGTTTGGGGCATAGTTCTTAAAACACACAAACATATTTTTCTTGAAAGATTACACCCAATTTTAATTAGTGAGTTCTTATTAGGTACTACTACTCATGTGAGCAAATTAAATAGGCAATATAGGTTTGTGCTGAATAGCATTTACCTTTCTAAAGACATCCCAGTAGTATTTTCATCAAAAGTAATTTTGTAATGCAGTATTTACAGGTATTTGACAAATTAATAGGTACTTGCTTCCATATTTCTGAGTTATGGAAAAATATGTATTGGTGAATCCTGTTGCTTAAAGAGTTTTCAGGAAACATCTTGTTGAATTAAGCTATAACTGGGAAAAAAAAATCAATTACTTATTGACCTTTACAGAAGAGTTTGAAAGCCCATGCTCTCCTTATTTCTGTATCTTCAGAGAACCCACCACTCTCCTTTTCTTCTTGTATTTTTCAAGTAAATAAAAATGTTCCTATGGAAGACTTCCATTACCTTTGAATTGTGTGTAATCATTTCTATGCTAATCTAGATTATAGGGTGTGACTTGTGATGGTGATTTTTTTTTTTCCATTTTGCACGGAAAAAAATGTTTAAAAATGCAATTTATAGCAGTTCAGTGGTTTTAACCCCCAAACACCTAACTTTGGCAGGTTGCTTCCTTTTTCCTCAGTACTATTCCAAATGTCTCTGAATACAGGATTTCCGGTTGAGTTTGTGAATTTGTGGTGGAGGGGAGGAGAAGAGGCAGGAGCAACAGAGGTGTGGAATGGTATAAATAAGTTTAGAAATATAAACAGTTCAGAAAACTGACAATTTGTATCAACTGTCATGAATTCAGAGGTTTAAGAAGAGAGAAATTGGGGATTGTGTTTATGTACAAGGGAGTGTACCAACCAGGATTACAATTTTGTTTCTTTAGAAATCTAACACTAATTGTGGCAATATAACCCTAATCATTTTTAGAGTTGGGTTGTTGTCTCTTGCTACGCTTT